ACGCGCTTGTGCCACTCGTGGACGTTGTGGGGGTTCTGCCGCAGGAGGACGCTGTTGAGCAGCAGCGGCCGCCGCGACATCAGCGCCTCGAAACGCGCCAGGCGCAGCTCCAGCTCCACCTCCTCTGGGGACATTTGGGGACACCAGGGTCATCGGAGGTCACCCAGGGGTCAGAGGGGTCAGGGGTCATTGGGGGACACAGGGACATTGGGGTCACCAGGCACAGCTCCAGCTCCACCTCCTCTGGGGACATTTGGGGACACCGGGGTCTGGGGTCATCCGAGGTCACTGGGGGTCAGGGGTCATTGGGGGACATAGGGACACCCCAGGGTCAGGGGACATTTGGGGACATCACAGGGTCAGGGGACACCACAAACCCATTTTGGGGGGGAAACTGAGGCAGGGCACCCCCAAAGTCCCAAACTTTATAGGGAAACTAAGGCAGACCACCCCAAACTTCCCATTTCTGGAGGGAAACTGAGCCAGGGCACCCCCGAGGGCCCCATTTTTAGGGGGAAACTGTGGCAGGGCACTCCCTAAGACCCAAATTTTTGGGGAAACTGAGGCAGGGCAACCCCAAAGACTCAAATTTTGGGGGAAACTGAGGCAAGGCACTGCTGAACTCCCCAAATTTTGAGGGGAAACTGAGGCAGGGCACCCCCAAAGACCCAAATTTTGGGGGAAACTGAGGCAAGGCAGCCCTAAACTCCCAACTATTGGGGGGAAACTGAGACAGGGCATCACTGCTGAACTCCCCAAATTTTGAGGGGAAACTGAGGCAGGGCACCCCCAAAGACCCAAATTTTGGGGGAAACTGAGGCAGAGCAACCCCAAATACCCACATTTTGAAGGGAAATTGAGGCAAGGCAACCCCAAAGTCCCCATTTTTTAGACTAAACTGAGGCAGGGCACCCCCATGTCCCCATTTGTGGGGGAAACTGAGGCAGGACAACCCCAAAGTCCCAAATTTTTGGGAGAAACTGAGGCAGGGCACTGCCAAACTCCCCAAATTTTGTGGGAAAACTGAGGCACGGCACCCCAAATACCCAAATTTTGAGGGGAAACTGAGGCAGGGCACCCCCATGTCCCCATTTTGGGGGGAAACTGAGGCAGGGCACTGCCAAAGTCCCAAATTCTGGGGGAAACTAGAGCAAGGCAGCCCTAAACTTCCCATTTTCAGAGGGAGACTGAAGCAGGGCACCCCCAAAGTCCCCATTTTTAGGGGGAAACTGAGCCAGGGCATCCCCATGTCCCCATTTTTGGGGGAAACTGAGGCAGGACACCCCCGAGGACCCCGTTTTTTGGGAAAACTGAGGCAGGCCCCTCACCGTCCTCGTCGCGCCCCATCTCGGCGCTGGTCTCCATCTTGGCGGCGATGAGGCTCTCCTCGAACTGGGCGTAGCGGTCGAAGACGGTGGTGAAATCCCGAACCGTCATCACCGTCTGCACCGCCTCCTCGAACACGTCACGGGCCTGGGGACGGGGACAGCGACACAAGAGGGTTGGGGACACGGGGATGGGGTCAGGGTGTCTGGGGGAGGTGGGGGTGGGTATGTGGGTGACACTGGGTGACATCTGGGGCCAT